TACTTCGATTGGCCCCTTTTGCTTAATTTCCCCCATTCATTCATCGTGCCTTCATTTTGCAATCCGACATAATGGCTGGTCCAGGTTTGCATATATAGATATATAGATATATTTTTAAAAGTGAAAACATGTTCTCCTCACCTCTAAGACCCTAAGCCTGGTCTTAAAGAATAGGGTAGACCATAGCTACCCTTCTTTTTTCAGAATGTAATTTAAAATTACACAACGAGATCATATTTGCTAGTTACAGCAGATGGCATCTCTCTGATTATGACTGGATCCTATAATACAAGTCATACCTGCCTTCTTAGAAATACTTTTAAGTACAATTTTCCTTTACTCTTTAAGCCCTCCTTTCCCCTGGATGAGAAAACAATGGATCAGTGTACTTCCATTGCTCTGCCCCCCATTCCTGGAAAGGGACTCTTTCCCTTCGTGTTCCCAACACTTGAAACAGCTCACCGTCAAAAAAGGGGCCCTCAGGGGTGTCTATGCTTTCGATCCTGAAAAAGAAGACATAACTCTTCAGTTCCTGAAGTGCAGCTATCTGCTGCAGCTTTATTGATCGCCAAGTGTCTTATGGGATAATGGATCATTTTTATGAGGTTTCAGAAAGTTCATGGGAAAATTCTATTATAGTTTAATTCCATTTCCCACTAACTTTTTGAAGCTCCTTCACATATGATCTTTCACATCATGGCCTTGCAACTTCCACTAAATGTCTGTGCAAATAATCGTGCAAATTAAGTGCTTGTCGCCCACGTGAGGCATTGGATAGCTTGCTACTCATGCAAGCAAGGTGCATGGCACCCTTGTGGGGATGAAGCCATGCAAATAAAGCTATAGAACCCTAATGAGGGAAGTAGTTAGTTTTGCTTTCCCACCTATAAGGAGCCATACCAGAAAGGGAGATTCACTACCACCTAGAAGACAAGCCAGGAGTGGACCCAGGTCTCTGTGCTGAGAACCTCCTAGACCTAGAGAGACATGAGAAAAAACTGCTACATCACTGATGGTCTGAGCTGGCAAGAAGCAGTGTCCGAGTAAAACCACAATAGAACCAGGAGAGAGCGTTGCATGAGGGGTCGGGGGCCTTCTTGGCCCATGGAACAAGACAGTTACAACAGGCTTGATGATGGAGCAAGAAAGCTGAGAGACTTTGGGCAGGAGGTTTTCTGACAGAGTAGAGTGTATCTGGGCACTTCCTGGGCAGAGAACAGCATGAAGGTCCTAAGGCCTGCCTATGGACATGGCCTGAGACCCATCCTGACCAAAGATCTATATCCCGAGTCATTCCTGATCCTGAATTGTAACCAAAAAGATAGGAATTTTACTTCCCGATCCCTCTGATTATGGTCTTTAAGTTCTGTGTGGCCGCTACAATGAACGACGGAACCCAGCAGACAAGTAGAGAATGCCTTGCGGGGAGGGGCGGCTGGTGTCAGAAGTAATGAAAAGGCTAGAGAGAGGAGGCTTGTCTGCCTCTCCACCTCACAGGTAACAGGTCTGGGGCTGATGTTGCTGGTGATTCTCTCGTTTCCCTTGTGGAGTTAGAGGAGGTAAGACCTACCTTGGCCTCATTTTTACAGGTATTCAAATGGTGGACCAGGCAGAAGCAAACCCCCAAAATAGCGTCCCAAATCTTGCCTTTTTCCTTTTGTAAGGACTTTCAGGGATACTTCTGAATGTACCCAGACACCATAGGACATGGTTATGTTATTTTCAGTAATACCTGAATCATCATTAGTCCAGAAGTTTCTTGGATCGGGCTTAGTCGGGATGCTGGCTTGATTACATGGCTCTTTCACCTTGAAAGAATAAAGAGAAAAGAAATGATTTGAAAATG